GAGTTTACACTCCCCACATTATTATTATACTTGGCTAGCGAGCACCGACATTTAAAAACACCACCCTGCTACATAACAGGTTCCACGAGAATACAACACAACAAATGTCAAGCAGCGGAGCAACTTCGTCAAAAAAAATCTTATAGCACATTTATGAACTAGTGTGAACGGGCGCTTCGGACATCGCGACCCCGCAGACTTTTGTGTTCTTTTGTAGGAAGAATAGGAACCGGCGAAAATTGCGTAACTCGTCCTGTATCCATAAACGGTAAGGACTGATGGCATACAACAGTATGAAAGGATTTAAGGCCGGTATAGGCTCAGCAACAAAAATAAAAGAACTCTCTAAAAGAGGATGATGATAGATGTCCAATTCTTCCAGTACATGACAGATACCACCAACGATGAAGAACATGGGCAGACAGGCCTGGATAGTGAGTACCTTAACAAATGTACTTCTGTATGACTTCTTTCTAAGCTCTAAATGGAATGGAATACTGAATTTAGCAGTGCGTAAGATGGTCCAGTATGGGTTAGATTTAAAGAACTTGACATCTAATGAGTATTCAGCCTGAATCCCTTATGCAATTCTTATCCATGCTTCCATACTTCTTCTAGTAATCACGAATTCTACGTAAAGGATGAGTTCATGTACTTGGCGACAATTCTATCATCTAAAAATGCCGAGGCGTTCCTGTTTTCTTTCAACTTTCATACAGTTATATGCTATGCCACAACGAAAGGTAGTATCCGGGAGTATCCGGCTAATGTGCTCTTATCCTACTTATACAACCTTCTAAGTGTGTCTGTTGGTGTGTTTGTGTGTGTATTTGTATGTCTGACCGGAAATTCATAAGTCCTGTCCCACTGAACCTAAAGCATTCGACTTTGGAAGAAGTACTTGTGGCAGGGTAATAACATTTATGGCGGGTGGTAGAACCGGACTCCACCTACAAGGGGCGGGGTTTGTACGAAAATAAATGTTCGAGCGGAATATCATAACTTCTGCCCCTGTGGACCTAGAGCGTTCAAATTCAGTAGTAGTGTTGGCGGCAGGATGGGAACACTTGTAGTGGGTAGCAGGACCAGACCTCGCCCACAGAGGGCCTGTAGGCGGGGTTTGACTGGAAATTCGTAATTGCAAGACGGTAGTATGGGAATGCTGATAGGGGGAGCCATGGCTTGACTCCGCCCACGGGACGTACGCGAAAATTACTAATTTGGTTCTGGGGCGTTCGAAGATGGAGCGAGTGCAGGGGAGATTTGAGACATCTGGGGCAGGTAGTAGAAAGTAACTTACTAGATCCAGCTCGCGGAGGCATAAGAGGGATTTAGGGGATTCGTGAAATGAGCGTACATTGAAAGCAAACGCGCTGTCAAGTTAGAATAAAGGAAATGGATCCAACACACGAAGTGTGTGTGTGTGCGTGTGTGCGTGTGTTTCGCTGGAAATCGATAGCCCCTGTTTTATTTTTTTGAGTCAAAGACTTGAAACTCTGGAGAGTGCAGGCGGCAGTTCAACTTTAACACAAGAAAGAGGACTTTAGAGAGTGAATTCTCACCCTTATTAGCTGCGAATGAAGCCGTCGAGTGTTCTCCGACATATTAATTCCGCTGATACTTAACGATGATAGAATCAGTTTTCTCAGTATGAGAACACCAAAAAAGGTTATAGGAGTTGCTAGCATCATATAGGCAGAGACATAATTCATTTTCCAGTCAAGCTTGAGATGTCCGCTAACGCATTCCGTGGTGACATTATATCCAAGTTTCTCCTCGATCGCTGCCTTAACCTGCTCGCTATCACTGGCAGAGAGTGAGTACAGTACCTAAAGAGAGAAACACAGTTTGGCAGCAAGAATCGCTTAGGCACTTGGCTAAGGGGAGAAGGGCCTTCCGAATATCAATGAGTCACTGAGTCATGTCAACCGCCACTTGAAGTTGTGCTGTAACTCCGTAACTGTAACTCGAGTTGCTCCATACCAACTCCTAATCAACTTACTTATCAAAATTATGTCCTGAGTGGTGTTATTGATTCTTTCCTACCTGTGAATGACTATGTCAAGAAGCAACCACCGACCGGCAACGAGTTAGTTATATTTTTGATTATTTTGACTGAAAACAGCTGCGGTGAGCTTTGAAAAGGGCTAAAATGCAGTGAGGTCATTGAGTCGTGACTGAAAAAGCTATCCTTCTTCCCTTCGGGAGGTATCGATTATAATTGCATAGAACTCACTAACTGAAGGAAAGAGGGTAAATACATTAGAGTAATAACAATTGCGAGACTGCTTCGCTTCGGTGGAGGATGATTAAGGACGTAAAAACGATAAGCCGACGAAAACAAAATACTCCATGCAGCATGAGAGAGTAAATGAATCATGACACCATTTCTGAAGAAAAACGGTATTATTTGATTCACAGAAGTGTTTTAGTTTTTCGTTGCGCAGTTGGAGAGCTTTGGACACTTACATGGCATAGCAAACTGACTGTCCAAAATATGTACACGGTCCATTGGAAATGTAGTACAGACCGACTGCTGTAGGAATAACTCTGAAACATAAGATAATACTGGATAAGTTGTCCAGGGAGGGTGGGTTTCCTTACTACGCAAGAAGCCAGACTAATTTCGAAGTATTTTCCCGTGCTTTGTATTTCTCCCCTCCCCTATGAGTGCTTTTATTGGGATTCTCACAGCAGTGGTTCCGCACAACTACAATATCTTTGCTCTGAGAATCCAAATCTTCCTCAAGAAGCACAGCCCGTCATTCGGGTAGCGTACAACCATTCCCCTCCCCACACATACACACGGATATGAAGCCTTTCCAGTTTTTTTCCTGAATCTTTGTTCAGTTTTATTTGATTTCGATTTTTTGACTCGAATCGTTATACATATTCCCAGTAGAAAAGGCGTATTGAATGTGTGTGTGTGGACCGATCTTGAAGGCTCGGTCGACCTAGGTGGGCATACGTCCGGGGTCCGAAACCGTGACGATGCGTGTGTGATAATGACCAGTCTGCTTCTGGCTTCTGTAGGACACGTTGTTATTTCCGTTGAATTAACATCGTAAGCGCTTGACAGTACTGACAAATTTTCCTGTTTTTCAGTTGCTCCTAGCTCCCTGTACACTCTCGATTACCAGAATATCACTACTCGTGTCGATGTTGTCTCAAAAGATCTGTTGGTTGGATCTTGAAAGGCGATCACCTTAGCAACCCTGTGTGACAAGGTTTAGATGAACTCCACGTTTGTTTTTCTCTTTATTCGTCGAATAAGTAAGTTGTACGGTATTCGTATGATAGGTAGTTTTAGAACAAATTGTAGCGAGGGTCCGAAAATATATAATTAACTTACCGCCTAAGCTTTTTCAAAGTGTTTTATTGCGTGGATGGACGAAACCATAGCAGAGGCGGTTCATAATGTGAAGTACTGTTTGCTTTTGACCCAGAGACATAGCCTGATACAAAAAATGTGCAGTCTTCAGAAACATACCCAACCCTTCGTGATTCCAAGTCCTGTCAGCTATTCCAGCATTTATTTCGCCATCCGGAACCGCAACGAAACATGGCATTGAAGTTATCCACATCACATTTTTTCTTTGCGAAAGCAATTGACAACTGATATTCATTTCTCTGTTCAAAAACGTTCTTCGACTCCACCCAGACGTGAGCGTACTCTAGTTCAACCGGCAATCCACCACTCTTACTCTGCTTGACTTCTGCTTTGATGACCGCCGTATAATCCACAAGCTTTTTCAAAAACTTGACAGATGACTCAAATATGATTCTTCTCGAGAATATTTTTGCCGTCTCCATGTGCATTTTTAGTTGTTTGCTTAGCCCTCAGATAGTTCCATATAAAGGAGGCTCTGTTGGCACAATATGAGGATTTTGGATTTTTTTAGCTTTTGTTAAATGCCTACCTTTGCCACGCTAAGAGAGCAGTAAAACAGGCGAACAAATCGCAGAGTGCAGTGTTGAGAAAAATAACTGAATAAGTGGCCAGCTGTGGCGGAGTTTTCTTCAGAATTACCAAGATCATAAACGCATTAGCAGTGACTCCAATAACGTTCGTGATAGTATTTGACATCGAGCAGACCCACCATACCCAATCCATCATCCTGAAATGAAAACGACTAGAACAAAATTGACGCAAATTGAACCTAGCTGGCATAGCATAGTTTAGAGACACAAAAAGATGGAACTAAAGTCTTTCATGTCCTCTTCTGCGCCAGGTCACGTAGGAGCCGTAAACACAGATGTGTGGGTGAAGCATTTGAGAAGAGGTTTATAGCATTTAAGCAGCCTGGAGATTAGTTAGGCACCAAAAAAGCGCTCTCTCAAACAGTAGTTGTAGCTCAATTTTTTAGCGCTCCGCCCATGCCGCTTTAGTTGTTTCATGTAAACACATATGGGGTGTTATCGTTTCTGAGAATGCTGACGACAGTGAACACATTTCGGTATCAGCGTATGCATGTCGTTAGGCAAAAAACTCACCTATAAGTTTTTAATTTGGAAAGGGAACTAGCTTTACGTTTATTTCATTTATTGGGCATAAGGATGAGGTAACTCCATCCCTTCGGAATCTACAGCGTAATTCGTACATATTTGTGCCTAGGTTGAGAGTAACAAATTGAAGTCAGTAGAGCATGAAAAATTCAATAAGCATTAGCATCAAAAAGACAAAATAACCACACAAACTAAAGATGGCTCGTTTCGCCTCTTCACCTTCCCTTGAGGCTCATCAATGGTTTGGTGTTAGTGGAAAAGGGAATGGGTAAATGAAGTAGAGATGCGTTTTTTTTAAATGCCATCAACTGAAAAGCTGATTTTATTGACATTGTCCTTAATAGAAAACTTGTAACATATAAATTTATTTCTATACATCACATAATCCTACTTGTAATTACGAATTCTTCTTTGTATCAAATTTTTAATAGAATTTCTTTTAACTTCGTGGTGAATGTTTCCATATTAGAACATGTATTAGCAAATCTCAATGCTTCTGAAGCTGAAATCATCCCTTTTATTATATAGTTTGGTACTTGTCTTACCATTCGTTATATATATGTATATATTTATTTATTCGAAATACACACAAAGGTGCGCTTCAGTAGCAAGCAAGAAAACGAAACCAGTAACAAATTCAAACAGCAGAAAAAGTCATAAAAACGCACATCAAGAAAGAATGATACCCAGAAGTGAAGTTTCTTTAGGCTATACACGTCTAGAAATCTTGTATACCTAACAAAGCAATATGATAATATTCAAGTGTATTCAAGGCTATAATAATATTCAAGTCTAAACAATTACTATTTCTCTCACTCAAATGTGTTTTTTTGAGTTCAAGTGTATTTCTATATACTGAAGAAAGTTGCAATTGAATATCTGATTCAGTTTGGTTATGTACTATTGATAAGTCGTCCATATATCTGAGTAGCTAATTTGGAGTGAATAGCTTATTTGTATTGAATCTTTGATCTTTCGAATAACCCTATTCCATTATTGAAAGTGTCAGATCCGCTAGGAGAGGGCTGAAGTTGCCTCCTTGTGGCACACCTTTTTTATGTTTGTAAACATTATTTCCAAAATCACAGAAACTGTTAGATAGTGAATAAGCCGTGAATAATAAAAGAGCAAGTCATGAATCCTATAGTATCTATAGTTAGTTTGATCTGTATCATCTGTACAAGAAATGTTGTACCGGTTAGTTGCTATCATAGTTTTGTTAACATTACTGAAGCAAATTATAGTTTTAACTTATTGTTTATAGTGAGATTGTGCTTTAGATTTGTAAACATATCCGTAAAATCAGCGGTGTATAGCTTTACATTGTCATGGGCAAAAGAACTAAGCTCATTACAAATATTGATATGACTTATAGACCAGTATAATTCGATAATTCTGTTTCTATTTCGTGTTACTCTAGTGTAATTGATAAAGTGCTTTTTTATAAACCTAAAAATAGTGTGTAATTCTAGAGCTAAAGGTTTAATAGTGCTGTTACGAGCACCGATGATGAACCTAAATTTTACTGGATCCTTGTGTAACTTCGGAAAGGCGTAAATAATGGGAAGGTCCGCTTAGGCTTAGGTTAGCTCATGCGTCATACCATAACAAATATAAAATACTTACAGTTGGACGAACACAAGATGTTGACAACTTGATGATAAGAAAATTTGTATTTTACAATGTTGACTACATAAAAAATATTTCCTGCTAGCTGTTCAACATAATACGAAATGTATGGAAAATCTCACTATGTCACCACAGTATAAGCATCCCCAGTGCTCTTCGTGCATGATTCCTTCGTTTGCACCAATTTGGCGATAAGGTTTTTCTCGAAGACTTCAATGCTCGGAAATTTGTGAAAATTGTTCTTAAATATAACGGCTAATGCTTATATCCACTAGTCCGCCACTGCTCAGTTTCCTTTGGTTAACTCGGAAAGCATAGGTCACGGATAGAAAAGAATGTGGAAAGGGATTCATAACGATATTAAGTCGCTGAGCCAAAGGCACAGAAAGCAAATTCGTTTAACAAACCTTAAAAATTTTTTCGAATTGCTTTTGCAGAATGCGGGAATGCATTAGCACTAATGTGTTTCAAGTTGAATTACCGAATTTTAAAAACCGTCAGCATAGCATACCGCCAAATGGTTAACGTTCACAGTCGCGTCACCGTGATACCTATGAGTGGTAGCCCCATGTTTCTGAAGTCGGCAAATTGGTTCAAGCTTAGTCTAAGAGGTACAGGTATTCCTACACATTCAGCCCGCTACCACCATTCTGAATGGAAGTCGGAGGAGGGGACGCATTCCGAAATGTAAGCGATTGACTCTCTAAAAACTTTATCCTTTCAGCTTACATGCGTGGGGTTGCGATATAAACACATTGATGAACATTATAATTCAACATTATATCAAAGAAGAAATTTCGACCTCATCCAAACATTTAAACATACTTAACATAATTATTAATTAATTAATTAATTAATCAAAAAGACTACAGCGAGATTAGCAATGATATCACTTTGGTGGACTTTATCAAAAGGACAAACTGCTTCGATATCTCAATATCCTCGAACTATGGTTGCAATTTACAATATCATCTACAAAATCGTTTTTAAGGAATTTTCAAACTCAAAGAAGACATGACTTATAAGAAATTTGCAGTCTGTTCCCTTATCTATGGAGTCACCAGAACAGAACTGTCACCTTAACTAAAATGAAAATTCAGTCCGGCACTCGGTTCTTACAGTAACCCCCTGGCTTACCCACCGTATTAACACGTGCCGGATTACTGTAAGAACCGAGTGCCGGACTGAATCTTCGTTCCTGTGTCACCTTAAAAAAGTCAAACGTCTGTTGCTTTGTATTG